AGTTGGCACCTGAAACTAACGTATGCCTTCTTTCTCTTGCTCTCCTGTCCTTAGATTTCTTCCAACAGGATGCAAGCGTGATATATGGTGCCAAAATCTATATCAATACCGACTCTATTTTGGTCAGACTTTGTCAAATTTTTTTTCCGGTTTCTACTTGGGCCTTTCGGGTGCACCTATTTCCTCTTGGTGTTCTCCTTTCCTCATAATCTTATGATTTATCAAAATGGTTATTGGCTTTGGAGACTGGAAGGAGGAATAGAGATTGACGAGTAGGTTATTTGTGTAATGTAATCTCTGATGGTTTGTGTGAACAGGAGGAAGAAGTGGCAAAACCTGGAGAAGTGGAGGACACAAAAATGGAAGAATTTGTTGGCGAAATTCACAGTCCATTGAAGGCTGATGGAAGTGATGATGATGACCCTCATAGATGGGATGAATATAAATTTGACTATTGGTGAACTGAACCTTATTTATAATCAGATCAATGCATGGCTTTTAGATTATTTGTATTGATCAATTGTTGGTGGGTGGCCCTTGGGACATTCTTAACTTATTGTTCATAACCCTTGAGATCAGAGTGTTCTAGTGTTGTCTAGAGGTGTATAATTTTTCGTTTCTTTTTTTTGTCTATATATGTGCACACTTTAAATATCGTTTCCCTACAAGATTTTCTGTCAAAATATATGCAAGAAGTATAGGGGACTATATCTCAACTAGTCTCATCTCTAGTATTGTACAAGATCATTGCTAGAGTTCTCTCCTACAGGTTTAAGAAATTTCTTCCTTGTACTAAAACTTTTGTGGTTGATAGATTATTGATGATTCTTTCTTTCATAGCCAAAAAAGCAAGGGATGATGGTCAATACAGAGGAAATGGATTCGAGGGTGTATCCCAGCTCCAAAATTCTCAACCATCATTAATGGCTGCTTCAGGAGGAAAGATTCTTGCTACCAGAGGTTTTCCACAAGGTGATCTCCTCTCCCATTTCTCTTTATATTGATTCTTGCTACTAGAGGTTTTGGATAGGGTGATTTGGATAGGGTGATTTGGATAGGGTGATCTTGTGTAGTGATGTCCCATGTTGGAGGAGGAGAACAAAACACCATTTATAAGGGTGTGGAAACCTTACCCTAGCAGACGCGTTTTAAAGCCTTGAGGGGAAGCCCGAAAGGGAAAGCCCGAAAGGGAAAGCCCAAAAAAGACAATATCTGTTAGCAGTGAATCTGGGCTGTTACATATCCTTTCTCCCATTCCTTCTTTATATTGATTATAGATTGTTTTAGTTGATTTATGATACATATTGTAAATAAATAGACGATAAAAAGCTAGTACTAGGAAAAAGACTCTTTAGATATGCATCATCTATTATTTATTTGCCAACGTTACAATTCTTTTCTCCTCATAACAAATGATAGATAACTTGTTCCAACTTTTTTAAGTACTCAGTAGGTTAGGTTAGTCATTATATTAGGCTCAACTCAATTATTCGAGTCAGGCGAACCTTTTGGAATTGTCTCCTTTACCATGTTCTTGAAGGGAACCCTTTCCAAAAGAAAATTTTCCCATCTTAACGGAAGAAAACCGTAAACTCACCAACCTAAGAACATTTTCTGGGACCCACAGTCATGGCTGATCGATTCAAGTCAACGAATCAAGAGCTCAGTGTAGGGTTGGCCCACTTGAATACTGTAGGACCATAGAGTGTGGGTCACTTGTTTGATTGTATGGACCCATTAAGAATGGCCCATATCCACAAAATTGGGAAACGAAATTCAAGAGAATGATTATGCCATGGGTCCGTGGGTCCATTAAGAGTGGCCCATTAAAGTATGGGTTGCCTGCTTGTATGGCCCATTAAGAATGGCTTATCCACAAAACTGGGAAACGAAATTCAAGAGATGGATACCCACTCGAATACCGTGGGCCCATAAAAGTGTAGGTTGGCCCACTCGAATACCGTGGGCCCATCAAAGTGTAGGTTGGCCCACTCGAATACCGTGGGCCCATTAATGTGGGTCAGCTGCTTGTAAGGACCAATAAGAATAAATAGCCCATAGATACAAAACTGGGAAACGATATTCAAAAAACTGATAGTGGGCCCATGAAATTGTTGGTTGGCCCACTTGAATACCGTGGGCCAATTAAGAATATAGCCCATATCCACAAAATTGGGAAACAAGATTCATGAGAATGATTGTCGGCTCACTTTGTGTACCGTGGGCCCATTAGTGTGGGTCACTTATGTATGGCCCATTAAGAATAGCCCATATCCACAAAATTGGGAATCGAGATTCAAGAAAGTGATTGTAGGCCCAGTTTGCTTACCGCGGGCCCATGGGCCCACTGAAGAATGATTCATAGCCATGCAAGAACTGAGCTTTTGACCCAAAATGGACCCCACCTAATAAAAATTCCACCCACTTTTTTCAGTAGCGAATTAATTTTGTAGGACCATTTTTACAAAATAAAAAAAAATAATAATAAAAAAAAGGAGTTATGTTTGCAGGTAAGTACCTACTAAGGGTAAAAAAAAAAAACAAAAAACAGTAATTTAAGTCGAATGGAAAAATTATTCGAATATAGCTGTCGATTTCTAGATGGTTAGATCTATGGGTATCACCTGAATGCGCGGGGTATTCAACAGGAATGTCTCTAAGCATACTACCACTAAGAAGATAAGAGCTTGCTCAATACCCAAGTAGGCTTACAAAGTTGATAATGTTCAAGTGTTTTCTAGGTCGTCTTTTCTTAAGAGTTAATAAGATCAAATTGTTAGGTTTTGACAGAATAATAACTAAGCTAGAAACTTAAATAATTAAACGTTTATTGAAATTTGAAGGGAGGATATCATCGAATACTGAACCTGGTTTGATATTATTGAATACTGAACTTGGTTTTTATAGCTTTACAGATAATTAGACGTTAGATTTAAATTAAAGATTTATAAAGATATTTATACTTTTAAAAAAAATGTTAAAAAATACATTTAATTTAATGTTAGTTTTAGATAGAAATGGTTAATATTTATAAAAAATATTAATATATTACTTATAGTATATTATTATTAATTTAAATTTATTATTAATTATTGTTATTATTATTATTATTATTATTGGGATAAAAGGAGGTACTTTTCTGTTGTGTCAGCAGTTACAAAATTTCTCACACCCAATAAATTCCCATTTCATCAAACTTTCACAGATGATGTTTGGCTTTCCTCATTCTATCCTTATTTTGGAAACTAACAATTCAAATTTCCTTTCTTTTATAAAGATCTTATTTATTTCTTTCTTTTTCTTTTTTAATTATTTATTTTTATTTTATTTTAAAGTTTAGTTTTTCACTTTTTAAAAATTATTTATTTTTATTTTTATTTTTATTTTTATTTTATTTTAAAGTTAAGTTTTGAAATATTAAAAGTTTTTTGAAACAAAGGGTGAAGTTTAGGAATATCATATACGAATTAGTAGAAATATTTCTATTCATCATTGTTAAATTTGTTTATGATATTTATTATTATTTGATTAAGTTTAATATATTTTTCTCTCCGTTCTTCCCATTTATGAGGTAGAAGGGTATTGATGTTACCTCTCAAAGTTTATATATATATATATATATATATATATTTTATTTATTTATTTATTTATTAATAAGGAACTAAGAGTTCGTTAAGCATAATTCTTAAAAAAGATTTAAGAGTATTAACCAAACTTTTTAAATGTGGAGATTATTTTTTAAACATTTTTTCAAGTAAAAAGAAAAAAAAAGTAATTTTGAAACTTTTTACAAGTTTTGAGGATATTTTTTTAAAAAAAAATTATTAATAGCTTCTATTTAAATTTTATTTTTTAAAAAAATTGAAGAGTATTTTTTATTTAAAAAATCTAACATTATTGTTAATTTCCGTTTAAAAATATATATGTATTTTTATTTTTTAAAAAAATTATGCCACTTGTTAAAATAGATTAAATTATAAAAATAAAATAATAATAAAAAAAATTTAAAAAAAAAAACTTTGAACTAGGTTTTAATTGTCTCCTTAAACCTTGAAATATTTAATTTTATCTTTAATTTTTTTAAATGTTTAAAAAAAATAATTTTATCTTTAATTTTTTAAAATTTTTTAAAAATACCTTGTTGCAATTTTTATATTTAAAATAAAAAGTGAAATTTGAAGTACGCGTTTAAATTTAATGCAATATTATATATAACTACAGAAAAAATTTAAGATTGTTTTATATTTATTTTATCTAAATCAAGTTTTACATGAATAATGTAGTAAATAACAATGTTATGTATGCCTTCAAATTTTTTTATATGATTCTAATGATTTTTTTTTTTTTTATTCTAATTGAAAGCTAATTCTAAATTATGAGTCTGGGAGAGGGGAACGAGGTTTACCATGTGAGGAAAATGAACCTGAACGGCAAATATATGATAAGCTATTAGCCAAAAGGATAGTCACCATGTAGAGAGCAGATCCTCTAAACATCCTATTTCCGTGTCTCTCCTCCTCCTCTCAAAAAGCTCTGCGTCAATTGGTGCCCCTCTCCCTAACAAATGCGTTTTAAAACCCTGAGATTGACGGTTGGCTTGAATTGTTACAAATGGCATCATAGCTAGGCAACTAGCTATGTGTCAGTGAAGACACTGAGCCTCAAAGAGAAGTGAATTGTGAGATCTCACATCAATTAGAGAGGAGAACAAATGTCTGCGAGGACGCTGAGTCTCAAAGGAGGTGGATTGTGAGATCCCACATCAGTCAGATAGTAAAACTAAACATTATTTATAAGAGTGTAAAAATTTCTCCATAACACACGCGTTTTAAAACCATGAAGCTGACGACAATATGTCACAAGCTAAAATGGATAATATGTACTAACAGTGGACTTGTGTTGTGTCACGGAGTAGACAATATCTAACTAACTAACTCTTTCTTAGTTAGGGCTCGAAAATAATTTATGAGAGAGAAGAAATAGAGAGGAAAAGCATACAATAAATGGTAATAAAATCAGCTGAGGGTACCATGAATGCCATTGAACAACACAAAATCAGTGGGAAAACAAAAAAAAACTCAGAATCCAATGAGTCAAATCAGATTCAAAGCTGAAACCAATCCCAAAAATTTTCCCTCCCACAAAATTCCGTGTTCTTTCCCGAGAAAATGGAATCGAAACTTCCAAGATTCAAGGTTGATATTACAGCAAATTGAGACAAGTGTTCGAGAAATCAGCACCAATTCCATAGATGGAAACAACAAAATTATTGATTATTCTCACTCTGATGAATCTAAAAGCCAATTGATTAAGAAAATTGAAGAAAAACCTCGAAAAACAGAGGCCTTACAGAGAGATGAAGATGAAGAAAAGCTTCAACAAACTCATCCATGGCGGATCAAACACAAACCAGAAGAAGAAGAAGAAGAAGAATAACAGAAGCATAACCAGAAAGCCATCAGAGCTGAGTTCCGCCATGGATTTCCATTGAAATGGCGGAAGAACTTCAACCAAATTAGCAGAGTTCATAGAGCAAAATCTGGCAAAAACAGCCAAAATTTAGAATAATGATTCGAAAAGAGAAAAAGGAAACCCTAATTTTCACTCGATCTAAGTTAAGAATTCGATAGCCAAAAACCCTAAAATTCTAAGCTCCACACGAAAAGGGGAAAAAAAAGCGATAGAGAAATTGAAGGGTGGGGTTTAGGGTAGTTATATAATTCTATGAACACGAAACACGAGGCCGTCGTGGACGGCGGCGGGATTACGACTTCAACGGTGGTCGTTGTCTCTTCGGCCGGAACTTCCCGGTCCACCGGATAAAGAAGCAAGCAAATTCAGATGCCCTGGAAGGTAATTTCCCACTTTCGCCGCCGACGCTTCTCCCATCGATTGCTGTTGAACGAACAGCGACGCCGGGTGAGAAACCGCGGTCGGTTGAATCACCATCTCCGGAGCCGCCGCCGCTGCTGCTGCAAAGCTCCACACCTGTCCGAAATCCGGCCTCGTAGGAATCGCCCAATATCCACCCGCGGCAGCCGTACCCATAAACGAACTCACAGTAGAGCCAACCGAAACGCCACCACCACCGCCACCGCCACCGCTACCGTCGTCTTTATTATCTCCATCGTCGTCCGTTCTAACGCGCTTGCCAAGAATGAACGGCGCCGGAGCCAAAAGCGGCTTATGGTCTAGAGACGAAGCAGCAGCTGAACCACCGCGGAGTGAAGCGGAAATGGTGGAGAAGCTAGCCGGAGTAGTGCCGGTGCCAGTGGCAGCAATAATCGAAGGCTCCGCTTGACGGAGAAGCCACTCGATGGTTTGGCCGTCGGATTTGTGGCCCAACTCGCGAGTAAGTTGGAAGACCCGAGCAGCACAAATGATCGGCATACGAATACGGCGGCCACGGCCGTCGACCTTGCTGTGACGGTCCTTGGACGGAGGTTTTTTGACAGCCAAACCGCCATTGTTGGTAGTCTGAGAATGATCAATAATGGCGCCATTGTTGCAGTTGACGCCGTCAGAACCAGACATGGTTAACAAAGAAATACGTCAACGAAGAAGAAGAAGAAGAAGATTGAAGGGTCGTCAATGGAGGAATTGAAATATTTATTTATTTATTAATTTTTAATTATTTAAAAACTTTTTAAGGGGTTTGGGGTTTGGGAGCAGAGGGGCTCTAATCATTGAGAAGCAGGAGCTGGTGGAGACAGGAGGAGGGCACATGGGTGGTGGTCCCCACTTTTCTTTATTTTATTATTTATTTATTCTAATTTCACTCGTATTGGGTCCCACATCTCTAACTTCAATATTTTCCTTTTTTTTCTGGTCCCACAAAAGTTTCGAGGCTATATTCGTAATTTCACCATCTATTTTTAATTATTTTAATTTTAAATTATGATATTTCACCGTTATAGAATCCGGGTTTTCTCTCTCTGGACCGACAGCGGCTCGGCCTGTAATCTCTAGCTTTGTCCTGGATATTGTTTTGGTAGTTAGAGGTAAACGCCGTCGTTTAAATAAAACAAAAAAAAAACATTTAATTTTGGCCGAATTATTACTTTATGGTTTAAAAGCTTTTATTTTTTTTTAGTCCATAAAAAACTTTTATATAATTATCTGAATTGATTTATTTATAGAAATTTAATTAAAAATTAAAGCGATTTACATCTTATAGTATTAGGAATATTTTGTATTTATTTATTTTATTTTTTAATAGTAAAACTGGACTCGATCTTATCCTAAAACATTCGCATTAAGTTTTAATTAAATAAAAAAAGGCAATCATATAATAAAATAATTATTATAAAGTAATGGAGGAAAGGTCCAACATTTTACACTAATATTATATTATTTTCAAACTTTATGGGCGTTAATTTAATTTAGTCTGCACCTAAATCTTTCAAAAGTGAAATGACATCTTTGCCCAAATGATCTACTTGGGTCAAATTATAAAATCAGATTTTGTATGTAATTGATCTCATTAGTTTAATAAATTCTAAATTAATGTCCTATTGATAAAGTTAATAACAAAATTAAATAAAAATATGTTATTTATATAGTAATTAAATTAAATTTTTAATCTATAGTTTCTGGATGTAAGAGTCTATAAGGGTTGTATTGAAAAAATCTTTTGGATTGACTTGATATTTCAAGTTGGTTGAGTTAGTGATCTGAACAACTCGAAAAGAGTTCATAACCCAACTCGTGGATTGGATTGAGTTGTCGAATTGTTATCTTTTAAAAATTATGTTTAAGAGTGGTTCAACAATAAATAATAAAAATAAAAAATACGATAAATATGTTACCCCAAACAAAAATATGTTTTTTTTTTATAATTAATGAATTGTTTTAACATAAAAATTTAATTTTTTTAATTTAATTGAATCAAAATAAATTCACGACACAACTCAAATGAATTAGATTGGATTGATCGGATTTTTGGAACTCTTGTTTTAGATGATCTTAAAATTAATAATATTTATTTTGATTAATAGTTAAATAAAGTTGCAATAATTCTTTATTGATATTAGTAAACAATTGATTATGAGATGATTAACAATCAATGCAATATTTTCTTTTTTCATGAAATATCTTAATAAAGTTTTTAATATGATATTATTTCATGTGTCATCATTTACAAGATTGAGAAGGATTTTGGGCATCTCACCCAATCTTTACCACAATCCTTCTTTAATATCCTCATTGTTTCTTTAATTAGATTAATAAATAAAGATATCTCTATATTTTATTGTTAAAATCCCCATAAAAGTATATTAAGAATATAAAAAAAAAATTAAATATTTGTTAATTGAAAAATATTAGTTAAACAAACAGGTTAATCACTAAAAGTTGCAATAATTAAATTGTTAAAAAAATTAAAATTTAGGAATTAGACTGAAAATAAAAGTTTAAAGATTAAATTATTATTATTATGAAAAAATTTATTTAGAAGAAATTGAGGTGAGAGAGAGATGTAAATGCAAAGGTGACCACTGACTGAGATGTCCTTTCTCATGCCGTACTTCTTCCGCATGCATCTTCTCTCTCTCTCTACAGAAAAATAAATTTTAAATTTTATTTGGTAGAATATTTACACAAAATATTCAAAAATTAAATGCTCTATAATCTTAACACTATTAATAAAGTTCGAGAATAAAATTGAAATTTTTGAAAATCTAAAAATAAAATTGAAATATGTCCCAAAATATTCAAAAATCGAAGGGCAAATATGTCCTTTTTCTTTTTTTTTTTCTCTAAGAAAAACAAACACCCAAGTTCACAAGGGCAAATGCATTAAAAAAAGCTCACTTCTTTAGTCTTAAGAATGCTGGTTTTAAAAATGAGTGATGACCCTTCTCCGTTCCTTACTGTCCAACCGAATAGCAAACAGCTAATGCGTTTCACTTATTGAACGGAGTTCTATAGTCGGTCTGCGACCCCTAGGCACCGAAGACATCCTTAGAGTGATCTCATACTTCCTACGAGTACAGATTCTCCCAACTAGAGATCGAAGAGATCTTGCAGAATTGAGCACAATCTTTAGTAAGACAAATACTTGTGGAACATCCAATGCACCCAAATAACTCATGGATACAAATTTGAGATACTTTGTAATTTCTAGAACGTTCTAACACATACAACTAATTTCTTCGCATCTTCATAGATAGAATGCAATCAAATCAAAGCTATGAAGCCAAACCAGAGATTTGAGAAGAAATGTCATCCAAAAAGAACGCATCTGTACATAATGATGTGGGCATTGCGAAACAAAATTCTTAGTAACAAAAAAAAACAAAGAAAGACTGCTAAAACCACCAACTGTTCTATGTATATTCATAGCGGAAATTGCTTCTAAATCTGTGAGAAAACCTCAAAATAGATTCCTGGTTCCTGAAAACAAAGTTTAAACACAATAGTCAGGAATAAGTACTATAGTCTTTATAAGAGATGATACTTATAACTTATATTTATATATATATATATATATAGATCCAAGCCCACTACTAGCAAATATATCATCTTTTTTGAGTTTTCCCTTCCGGAATTTCTTTCAAGATTTTTAAAATGCGTCTGCTAAAGAGAGATTTCTACATCTCTATATAGAATGTTTCGTTCTCTTCTCCAATCGATGTGGGATCTCACGTAGCTGCTCATAACGTTTGCAAATCCATAGTCTATAATCTAGAATAAACAAGTTTGCCTACACATCTTAAGCGAACTATAGTGATTACCTTAAAGAAAATCTCAACTTCCAATCACTTCAGCTCAATTATCCTATTACAATGTAAAAGATGCATTTCATAAGCTTGTATTAATATGGTTCATAGAATTAGCAAATCCATAATCTATAATTTAGAATAAACATAGAAACTCTTAACCTCAAGTTACATGAACCTAACCTATGTGTCAAGTACCTTCTAATACAATCTCCTTGATATACTAGTGACGGTCTAACCACCTCAAAGAACAAAATCTCTTGACCCATTCAACCTCAAGCGAGAAACAATGTAAATCTATATTGTCTATGTCTTTTGTAGCGGCACAAACTCATCGCTAATAGATATTATTCTCTTTAGACTTTCCCTTTCGGGCTTCCTCACAAAGTTTTTAAAACATACTACTAGGGTGAAGTTTCCACCCTTATAAAAAAAAAATGTTTCGTTCCCCTCTCCAACCGAAAAGATACCCACTATGCTAGAGCCATGTACTTATAAAACTTCTCACTTATTCACTAAAGCCCACACCATAACTACCCCGCTAGTTCCAAACAACATTCCTCACTTACATTCATACCTGATCATTCCTCTCCCTATAAATCCTCTTCCTGCAGTATAACCAAATGACTGGACTTCTATAAAAGTGGAGAAGATTGTAGTCAGGAATACAAGACACAATCTGAAAGATCCCCTTCATTCTTGAAGAGCTGCTCACATACTAATAGCTTCGAGAAGAAAACCTAAACAACTAGATAGACAATGTTTCAAAAGAGTTTGAGAGTAGACACAAAAGAATCTATTAAAAGGTACCTGTATTTTAAAGCCACATGCTACTTGCTCATAATTAAGTGGAAAACCATATCTAGCCTTGCATTCTAGAAGAGATAAATGCACTTGAACAACAGATCCCCCCCTCCCCCAGCAGATAAGCTTCAGAAAATCAAAAGAGCCCAAGAAAAACAAAAGATAAATTTTAAGTTTAGTTCCTAAACTTCCAAATTTTGTGTCTATTCGGTCTTTTAACTAAATTTTCAATTTTATATCTAATATGTCTCCAAACTCTATAAGTCAAAGGAGGAATGCCATACCTACATAAAAGACCCGTTGTTCCTTGACTTTCTAAGGCCTAACCTTTCGCTCCCCTACTGAAAAAGAAGTGTTTAATAGGTCATTAAACTTTCTCCAATATGATCATATGTTGACATATTTGAAATTTTGAAAAAGAAATACTTTTAGAAAGCTAACTTATCTATTAGAGATAAATTTGATTCCTGAAATTTCAGGAACTAAAGTTGTAATATAACTGAAAAACAACTGCTAAAGAAACAGCTAACAAAAAGAAAGCTCCAATCCAAAAGAGACACTTAGAACAAAGTGAACTAAGCCTAAAGTGTTATTAACCAGAAAATAAAGAGGACTAATATCAAGAAAAACTTCACGTCATATCCATTGATAACTAGGAAGTCAAAGCTAGATCAGAAAAGGTTAGGTGTGAAGCAACCAATGCGAAAGTCTAAATCTTTTGTTTTGTAATCTTCTTGGTAGCTCTTGGTTGAGCATGGTTACAGAACCAATTCAACATAATTCCTTTTTCTCCCTCTCTTGGGCAACGTCATAATTTTTAATAAGTAAATGGATTCAATATCTTAATGGGTGACCTCAAAGATCTGTTGTATGGCATTCCTTCAATGATTAGAGCAACGAGGGAAGCATGATCATTACCTATTAATCACAAGTACCAGTAACAGCTGCACCATGATCATCCTAATCTTCCATTTGCTACAAACTAATAACCCAAACATCATGACCAGTTATTTCATCGTTCGCCCTCTGGGATTGAAGATACATCTCCACGGTACAAGTGATCAAAAACACTAGATATACCTTTACACAAAGCAGCTGGAGAGCGAAACATCCTATAGATATTTAATATATTTTTTAAATTGTTCTCATTGAGTCTTCACGGAATAACGTTATTGTACGAACAATTACTTGAACAAAAAGTACCAAAAGATAAGAATCAATTACTCAATCCTTAATTCGTATTGTTCTTAGTTCTTTTGGGGCTTAACGTTTGACAAACAAGTTACCAGAGCATACTCAGTAGGTATATGCATGCAACAAGTAATCCAGAAATTGGGGGGGGGGGGGGGGGGGGGGGGGGGGGGGGGGGGGGGGGGGGGGGGGGGGGGGGGGGGGGGGGGGGGGGGGGGGGGGGGGGGGGGGGGGGGGGGGGGGGGGGGGGGGGGGGGGGGGGGGGGGGGGGGGGGGGGGGGGGGGGGGGGGGGGGGGGGGGGGGGGGGGGGGGGGGGGGGGGGGGGGGGGGGGGGGGGGGGGGGGGGGGGGGGGGGGGGGGGGGGGGGGGGGGGGGGGGGGGGGGGGGGGG